GCCCAAAGCACACATTGCACTTCAAACAATAATAGTGGGGGATTTCAACACTGCACTCTCAGCAATGGACAGATCATAGAAACAGAAACTAAACAGAGGCACAGTGAAACTAACAGACGTTATGAACCAAATGGATTTAACAGACATCTATAGAATATTTCATCCTAAAACAAAAGAAAATACCTTTTTCTCAGCACTTCATGGTACCTTCTCCAAAATAGACCATATAATTGGTCACAAAACAGGCCTCAACAGATACAAAAAGATTGAAATAATCCCTTGCATCCTATTAGATCACCATGGACTAAGGCTGGTTTTATATAATGACAAAAACAATGGAAACCCCACATACACATGGAAATGGAACAGTGCTACACTCAATGATGACTTGGTCAAGGAAGAAAAAAAGAAAGAATTTAAAGACCTTAGAATATAATGAAAATTAAGACACATCATATCAAAACCTATGGGGCACAATGAAAGCAGTGCTAAGAGGAAAACTCATAGCTCTAAGTGCCTACAAAAAGTAACTGGAGAGAGCTTACACTAGCAGTTTGACAGCACACCTGAAAGCTCTAGAACAAAAGGAAGCAAATACACCCAAGAGGAGTAGACTGCAGGAAATAATCAAACTCAGGGCAAAAATCAACCAACTAGAAACAAAAAGAACTGTACAAAGAATCAACAAAACCAGGAGCTGGTTCTTTGAGAAAGTCAGCAAGATAGATAAACCCTTAGCCAGACTAACCAGTGGGCACAGAGACAGTATCCAAATTAATAAAATCAGAACTGAAAAGGGAGACATAACAACAGAAACTCAGGACATTAAAAAAAATCATTAGATCTACTACAAAAGCCTATGCTAAACCAAACTGGAGAATCTGTATGAAATGGACAATTTTCTAGAGAGATACCAGGTACCAAAGTTAAATCAAAAGCAGATAAACCATCTCAACAGTCCCATAACCCCTTAAGAAATAGCAGCAGACATTAAAAGGCTCTCAACCAAAAAAGTCCCAGGACCAGATGGTTTTAGTGCAGAGTTCTATCAGACCTTCAATAAAGACTTATACCAACTCACTATAAAGTATTCCACAAAATAGAAACAGAAGGAACAATGTCAAATTCGTTCTATGAAGCCACAATTACGCTCATACCTAATCCATACAAAGACACAACAAAGAAAGAGAACTTCAGACCAATCTCCCTCATGAATATCGATTCAAAAATACTCAATAAAATTCTCACAAACCGAATCCAAGAAAACATCAAAACAATCATCCATCATGATCAAGTGGGCTTTATCCCAGGAATGCAGGGATGGTTCAATATTTGGAAATCCATCAATGTAATCCACTATATAAACAAACTCCAAGAAAAAGACCACATGATCATATCACTAGATGCTGAGAAAGCATTTGACAAAATTCAACACCCCTTCATGGTAAAAGTCTTGGAAAGATCAGGAATTCAAGGCCCATACCTAAACATACTAAAAGCAATATACAGCAAGCCAGTAGCCAACAGTAAACTAAATGGAGAGAAACTTGAAGCAATCCCACTAAAATCAGGGACTAGACAAGGCTGCCCACTCTCTCCCTACCTATTCAATATAGTACTAGAAGTCCTAGCTAGAGCAATTATACAACAGAAAGAATTCAAAGGGATACAAAAGGGAAATGAGGAAGTCAAAATATCACTATTTGCAGATGATATGATAGTATACTTACCCCAAAACTTCCCCCAGAGAACTCATAAACCTGATAAACACTTCAGCAAAGTGGCTGGATATAAAATTAATTCAAATAAATCAGTAGCCTTCCTTTACTCGAAGGATAAACAGGCTAAGAAAGAAATTAGGGAAATGACACCCTTCACAATAGTCACAAATAATATAAAATACCTTGGTGTGAATGTAACCAAGCAAGTGAAAGATCTGTATAACAAGAACTTCAAGTCTCTGAAGAAAGAAATTGATGAAAATCTCAGAAGATGGAAAGATCTCCCATGCTCATGGATTGGCAGGATTAATATAGTAAAAATTGCTATATTGCCAAAAGCAATCTACAGATTCAATGCAATCTCCATTAAAATTCCAACTCAATTCTTCATAGAGATAGAAAGAGCGATTTGCATATTCATCTAGAATAACAAAAAACCCAGGATATCGAAAACTATTCTCAACAATAAAATAACTTCTGGGGGAATCACCATCCCTGACCTAAAGCTGTACTACAGAGCAATAGTGATAAAAACTGCATGGTATTGGTACAGAGACAGGCAGGAAGATCAATGGAAAACAATTGAAGACCCAGAAGTGAACCCACACAACTATGGTCACTTGATCTTTGACAAAGTATCTAAAACCATCCAGTGGAAATAGGACAGCATTTTCAACAAATGGTGTTGGTTCAACTGGAGGTCAGCATGTAGAAAAATGCAAATTGATCCATTCTTATCTCCTTGTACAAAGCTCAAGTCCAAGTGGATAAAGGACCTTCACATAAGACCAGATATACTGAAACTAATAGAAGAGAAGGTGAGGAAAACCCTCAAATTCTTAGGTACAGGGAAAAAGTTCCTGAACAGAACAACAGTGGCTTATGCTCTATGATCAAACATTGACAAATGGGACCTCGTAAAACTGCAACACTTCTTTAAGGCAAAGGACACTGTCAATAGGACAAATCATCAACCAACAAATTTGGAAAAGGTCTTTACCAATCCTACATCTGATAGAGGGCTAATATCCAATATATACAAAGAACTTAAAAATTAGACTATACAACCAAATATCTCTATTAAAAATGGGGTACAGATCTAAACAAAGAATTCTCAACTGAGGAATCTTGAGTGGCTGAGAAGCTCCTAATGAAATGTTCAACATCCTTTGTCATCAGGGAAATGCAAATCAAAACAACCCTGAGATTCCACCTCACACCTGTCAGAATGGCTAAGATCAAAAACGCAGGTGATAGCAGATTCTGGTTAGGATGTGGAGAAATGGAACACTTCTCCATTGTTGGTGGAATTGCAAGCTGGTACCACTGATCTGGAAATCAGTCTGGTGGTTCCTCAGGAAATTGGACATAGTATTACCTGAGGACCCAGCTATACCACTCCTGGGCATATACCTAGAAGACGCTCCAACATATAACAAGGACACATGCTCCACTATGTTCATAGCAGCCTTATTTATAATTGCCAGAAGCTGGAAAAAAACCAAATGTCCTTCGACAGAGGAATGGATACAGAAAATGTGATATATTTACACAATGGAGTATTACTCAGCTATTAAAAGCAATGAGTTTATGAAATTCACAGCCAAATGGATGGAACTATAAAATATAGTCCTGAGTCAGGTAACCCAATCACAAAAGAACACACATGGTATGCACTCACTGATAATTGGATATTAGCCCAAAAGCTTGAAATACTCAAGATACAATTCCCAGACCATATGAAGCTCATGAAGAAGGAAGACCAAAATGTGGGTGCCTCAGTCCTTCTTAGAATGAGTAACGGAATACTTATGAAAGCAAATATGGAGACAATTTGGGACAGAAACTTTAGGAGGGGCTGTCTGGAGACTGTTCCACCTGGGTATCTAGCCCATGTGTGGTCACCAAATGTAGATGTTAATGTGGATGTCAGGCAGTGCATGCTGATAGGAGCCTGATATAGCTGTCTCCTTAGAGGTCTGCAAGAGTCTGATATATATAGAGGCAGATACTCACAGCTCACCATTGAACTGATCATGGGGTTCTCAATGGAGGAGTTAGAGAGAAGACTCAAGGAGCTGAAAGGTATTGTGGCCCCAGAGGGAGAGCAACAATACCAACCAACCAGAGATCCCAGGGTCTAAACCACCAGTCTGGGAGCAGATAGGGAGGGACCCATGGCTCCGGCTGTACATGTAGTGGAGGACAGCCTTGTTGAGCATAGGTGGGAGAGGAGATCCTTGGTTCTGTGTATGCTGGATGCCCCAGTGTGGAGGAGTTTGAGGGCTGGGAGGTGGGAGTGCATGGGAAGGTGGGGGCACATCCTCATAGAAGCAGGAGAAGTGGGGATAGGATAGGGAGTTTCTGGGTGGGGGAAATGGGGAAAGGGGATAACATCTGAAATGTAAATAAAATATCCAATAAAAAAAGAGTGATGAGTTGGAATATATGACCGAAGAGCTATCTAACCAGCAATGTGCTACATGGCTCCTTTTTAGCTGCATATATTTAAAAGTAAATAGAGAAGTGATTTAAAGACACAATTTAAGGGAAAACTGAATTTAAATATTTTAAAAAAATTCTTAGTCTATCTATATAAACAATAAGGAAATATATTTAGGAGAGAAAACCAAAGAGAGAGTCCAACAACCATTTGATAAAGACATTAGTGTGATAGAAGAAGCTAAATTCTGGTTTTTTGGAGGAGATTAAGCATGTTCATGGTGGTATATCTGTAGACCCATAATTCTATTCTATAACATCATAGAAACCTGAAATTTTCTTGCCATTCTAATAGTAATAAGAAATGGTGAGTAGAGTGTGAAAGCTATCCATTATGTATGGGGTTAGTGACTCCGTAACTGGGCAAGTTCAGCCTCTTTTTACTCTTTACTCTTTAACTTCTCTAAATTCATGGGATGTTGTAGCAAGAAGATATTGACCAGACACCAGTTCCTTTATTTTAGACTTCCCTATCTCCAGAATTGCAAGCCATTTTATTTATATTCTCACTATATTATTTTTCTCTCTTGACTTTTAGATGTATTACTAACTTGGTTTATATTAATCCCTCTACTCTATTTCTACAATGTGAAACAATGTGAGACTTTGTTTCATAAAAAGAAAAAAACTAAATCAAACCATCCAACCAACCAACCAACCAACCGACCAACCAACCAACCAATCGACCAACCAACCAACCAACAGAAGTGAAATAAAAGATGATTCAAGAAAAGGGCAGTTTAAAAATGGTTGGGGAGTATTGTGGAATTGGATTACCTTCCTTTGCTCAGCAGAGTCTTGAAGACTGCCTTCGTTTTAATTGTGCATCCTTGATCTCTGAGTCTAGAGAAAGAACAACAGATTTTTTCCTAATTAGAGCTATACTAGAAAAAAATAAATGAAGACATAAAATAAAAACCACCATGTGGAAGATTGTTTCTAGTGTATTTGAATGGAAAAGAACAACCCACTTCTACATAGAAGGGTATTATAAAGAAAACCACAGGCATGCTAGAAACATAAAAAAGGCTGGGGAGAGTTATTTTGTGCAGAAGTAGGATGTAAAAGCCCCTTGTCTATAGGAATTTAGAATGTCACATGCATTCTAAGAGTAAGATTTATACCCAGAAATTACCTAAGAAGCAAACTGACAATGAACAGTTTAGAAGATACTGGAAAATGATAATACTTGGTGATACATTATTATCTATAGTATATAGTGATCTAAAGATAATCTTAATGGTAGAAGCAAAAATTTGATTCGAAAGTAGACAATAGGAGACCTGTGAGATGGCTCAGTGATTAAGGGTCTTTGCCTCTATTCCTGAGAATCTGAATTTAATCTCTAGAATCTACACTAAGAGAACTATCTCCTTTGAGTTGTCTTCCTAACTTTATAATTGCATGCCTACATTCTTTCTCTCTCCCTCTCTCCCTCTCTCTCTCTCTCTTTCTCTCATAAAAAATTGGGCAATAGACCTAAGCAAGATGGCTTGGCATGTAAAGGATATTGTTGCTAAGCCTGATGACTTGAGTTTAATCCTGGTAATCCCTGCAAACTGCCCTCTGACTTCTACTTGTATGCCATGGCACACAGAACACATTCAGAAAACCAATTAATGAATGGAACTTTTAAAGAGTACATACAGATGACCTACGCATATAGGAAAGTCCTGACGAAATATGGTCCTGCCCTTTATCTGTTGTCTTGGTTCCATTTTGTCCTGCAAAGGGAACTAATTGGTTGTCAGAACAGCATGAAATCTATTCTTGGGGGCTAGCTTCTTTTTTTTCTGAAATTAATTTTTTAATTGGATATTTTATTTACATTTCAGATGTTATCCCTTTTTCCCATTTCCCCACTCAGAAACCCCCTATCCTATCCCCACTCCTCCTGCTTCTATGAGGATGTGCCCCCACCCACCTACCCACTCCCACCTCCCCGCCCTCAACTTCCCCCACACTGGGGCATTCAGCCTTTACCAAAGACCTATCAGTTCAATGGTTAGCTGTGAGTATCTGCCTCTGTATATGCCAGGCTCTGGCAGACCTCTAAGAAGACAGGTATATCAGGATCTTGTTAGCATGCACTTCCTGTCACCCACAGTAGCATCTGCCTTTGGTAACTGTACATAGCTTCTTTTATTGGCACTAAACTTCAGAGTTTTCTTTCCCTCATCATGAACTGAGAAAATTTTAATTCTTGAGGATGGAAGTGTACATGTTTTCAACAGTCTGGTAGCCAAAGACATAGGCTCAAGTTTCTTTAGAATATTTTATCTCTTGCTATGGTTGATGCGAAGAAGTAACTGGAGAGTTCTATAATAATAAATGGTGATTTCAATAAAGAATATAATGCTATAGAAAATTAATAATGAAATAGAGGACTAGAACAAAACCATAATCCAGTAGAAGTAAATGTGTAGATAACGCTGCCCCCTAGAACAACATACACGTTCTTCTATAGGGCACATGGACATTTTCCATATGATAAGCATTAGATAATATTAATAAATATTAAAAGACTGAAGTAATAAAAGATTTCTTTCTCTGATCATAATGGATTGAATCTAGAAATAACCAAAGGAAAATTAGGATATTCACAAGTGTGTAAATTCAAGAACATTTTGTTTAAAAGGCAAGATGTCATCATATAACCTATGATGAGTATTCTTGGATGTCAACTTGACTACATCTGGGATTAACTAAAACCCAAGAAACTGGGTACACCTTCAAGAATGTTTAAAATTAAATTGATGCATCTTTAAATATAGCTCTTTTGAAGTTGGAAGATCTACCATTAATCTGGGCCATACCTTCTGTTGGGAACCTATATAAAGGACATGGCATAAGGAAGCTTGTTCTTTGCCTGTTTGCTCTCACTCTAGCTGACTCATTCTTCACTGTCATTCTAGCCTATTTCTTTGGGATTCTGATATATACTGAAGACCAGCTGAGGCATCCAGCAGTGTGGACAGCTGCTGGATTTTTGGACCTTCTTTCAGTAGCCACTGTTGGACTAGCTGGATCACAACCTGCAGGCCATTCTAATAAATCCCCCGAAACACACACACACACACACACACACACACACACACACACACACACACATTCCTTTAGAGAACTCTACCCTGACTAATACATAACTCAACTATCTTCTAAACTATGATCCTTATAAGGTCTCAGGTTCAGGGTTCAAGAAGTGTGGGGCAGTAGGCTATGAGAAAGCCAGAAAGCCTGGTAGGAATCTTTGAAGCCCCGGAGACCTCGGCCTGAAAAGGGTTAGCAGGATGGAAGGTTGCTTCAGATTCCCAGGCCATATGGCCTTCTTAGCTTCCGCTTCCCACAAAGAGACCCATGACCCTTATCACATAGGATAACACCTCCATGCAAATAAGGCATCCCCAAACCCTCAAGCCAAACCAATAGGGGTTACCTGTTCTTTCCCCCGAAACTGTATATATATGTAACCCCAGAGCTAGAATTAAATTACTACTGCTGTGTGGTGCAAGGTCTCCTGCTGTCGGAGTGCTTTCGCGATCCCTCGCCAGTCGCACATTTCAAAGGACAACTCTCTTCCCTCCTCTCTTCTCAGTGGGAAGAGCGAGCTGAACTGAAAGAGCTGAAACACTTTTCTTCCGTGGGCTCTCATGAGCTACCCCTGGAAGGAGAGAACTAAAAGAGCTGATAACACTCTCTTGTTTTGGAGACTGGGACAGAGGTCCCGCTCTGCGCAACTGGAAGGCGTGCTTGAGCTGTGCCCTGGTTCACAGTTGTGCTCTCCTTCATCGCCGCTGCCGCCACCCCTGCTTCTGGGGTTTTTGGGCCGACCGGAGGCTGTCATGGAGCACGAGCCCCACCCCTCCAGCTGCCGAAGGCCCTGGGCCAGCTCAGCTGACTCCTTCCATGCCCCAACCCCAGAGTCTGTTCGCCCACCCCCGTGGGCCCGGCCTGGAGCTGACGCCAGCCACCGCCGACCCTGGTACCCGCGATCCCTAGGCGTGAGCACTGCCCAACATCTGGCACCATCAATGTGGGGCTTGCGACTGCAAGAACCGAACCACCCAACACAAGGCTACCGGCCTCTCTAAGCCAAAGCTGCTGCCAGCTGCTCTTGGGCACCGTCTCTGTTCTGCTCTACCTCCCTGATCGTGAGCTAGAAAAGCGCTGCAAGAACTAACACTACCAGAAGGTAAGCCCCCAAGCCTGGAGACGAATAATCTATCACTTCCTCCTGTACTTTTGGTCAAAGCCATCGCGTGGATTTAAATAAGCCGAAGGAGCAACTGAAGCCTCCTGGCCAAGGCTACTCCCTGGTGTAGGCTAAAGGCTCCTCTGACCTCTACTTAAATCCCAACAGCCCATAACGGGTGTTGGCGAAGACCTTCTATCTAGAATCTCTTCATGACAAAAAGAAAAAATCTGGTAATGCAGCAACCAGTTAAGGGCTATTAGAGCGGTATCCAGGACATCTCAAATCTGCAGACAGGCTTAACGTTTTGGACCCTTGAGGAATCCCTGGAGGCTAGCAAGCCAAAGGAACGTTCCCATTGGACAAAGCGTTTTCCCTCTTTTCTGTCATGGGCAATTCCACATCACATAAAAAACCACCCCAGGTCAGGCAAATATGTGTCCTACTAGAATCCCAAGGGGTGAAAATAACCAAAAAACAAGCCTCCCTGTTTTGGGAGGAAGTCCTTCAGATAGCCCCATGCATGGCTGAGGACAATATCTACAGCGCAGATTCATGGAGTAGAGTAGCCTCCTTTATCAAAAACAGAAACACCCAAGAAGGAAAAAGGCTTCCTCATGGTTTTCTGCCAATCTTAGCAGCAATTCGACAATGTATAGGGCCCTCTAAAACAGGACAGATGGAGAGCAATACAACTTTTGACACCTCTCAGTCAAAAGAGACCAAAGGTCAGGGTCCCCCATGTCACCCTACCTCAGACCTCGCAGCCCTTACCCAATTGATAAGAGAGATAAAATCCATCTACCCACCCCTTCCCCCTTATGCCTTAGAAGAAAGGCCAAACAGACCATCTGCCTCTCCTACTCCCCTCTCCCCCATCCAAAGGCAAGGCTCTACTAAAATACCAAAGGAGCTCTCACCTGCCTCCCCCCCTCACTCCCCAACCAAAGAGAGATAAATCTCCTCCCCCTTCTGCAAGCCACAAGAGCGAGAGAGCTTCAGAACCTGCAGATAAAACCCTGCAAAATTCCATAGTCCCTTATACCCCGCCATCCATCACTCAACAGCTTTGCAATTTCAGGGACTCTCATAGGAAAACTAACCCTGCCTTCCATGCTACTCAGGAGTCTGATACAGAACCCATAACTCAAACTACTCAAGCATTCCCAGTTAATATCAACCTTACCCGGGCTATACCACTTAACTGGTACCCACTCCAGGCCTCAGACCTAAAAGAACTTAGGCAAGCAGTGAAGGAAGATGGCATTCATGCACCCTGGACAAAATCTCTCCTTCAGAGCCATATTGCCAACTTAAATACCCCCCAAGATTGGAGAGATATTTGCCATTCCGCCCTTCCTGGCCCAATGTTCCTAGAATGGGAAGCCTACTTTCGTGATGAATGCCTTCAACAAGCCAGGCAAAACCAGAAGAGGGATGATGACGTCCCATGGAGTTTTAAAGAACTCTTTGGTCAGGAGGATTTCTCTACTGGAGCACAGCAGGCAACCCAGCCAGCGGGTTACTATGAGCAGGTCCGCCTCTGTGCCATTCAGGCCTGGAACAGGCTAACTCAACCCTCAGGGTCACAAGACCCCGCCTACTCCCTGCTCTCCCTCCATCAGAAGCCTGGAGAATCCCTGTC